GCAAATAATAGTTACTTTAATTTAAGTATTCTGCAACAATAATAATTATTAATAAGAAATGTTTAAAATTATTAATCGGGTTGTTCTTTTTTTATGGAGAGGCTTACTGGAAGTGAGGGTTCGTGAATTCGTGAATTGAATTTTTGTGATATACATGTACGAACATTACATACTCAGGGGGAGGGTCCTGTCCCCAAGCACATGTGCTTCGATGATATATAATGCAACTGTTCATGTAAAATCTAAATTGCTGATTGTTTTCTGGAACTGATAAAGCCACAGAAAAAATCTCTTTTCGTGACTTCAGATTATAAATTAAATAACCAAACTTAGATTTATAGATATCTACGAGTAAATAAAACAGTATTGGCAGTATAAAAAAGATGAAAACAACACCAAGTATATGCATTTGACTTGATTTTGCGACTCCCCCGGCGATGTGCTTTCCCATAAACGACTCCCCCCTACGGAACCGTTACTGTCTGAAGAGAAACTGTCTTAATTATTAATTTTTATAAAGTTTAGTCAAGTTTAAGTTGTTGCATTTAAAAGATAAACGTTTTCTCTCGCTGTTTTAAAAGTGAGAATCCCTATGTAAGCCGTAGATTGTGCAAATCATGTATGTTTTTACTACCCGATCAACATAAATATGAAAACTGTCAAATGGTTTCGAAGTGTTCGAGAAAACTAGACGTGTATGATAGCCGGACAAATGACCACGATAAAGCTTAACTATTGCCATCTTCCGTGGAATATTTCTCTTTTGTAAATACATCTTATATATACCGAAAAAAGACGTGACCCACATCTCCTCTGACTCCGAAGCGGTGAAAATCTACTCCCCCATACGTTGAAAACGACTCCCCCATACTTTTTAGCGACTCCCCCGCGTTACCGGTTGTATACGGTGAATGTGGAATGAAATGTAGCACTGTGAAATATGTTGCGTAAAAATTCAGATAATAGTAAACATATTGTCAATTTGAGAATTCTGATGTTATATCAGGTACTGTTCTCAAGTGGAGCCAGTTCTGTTCTCAAGTGGAGCCAGTTCTATTAAGAACCCACGCTTACAATAACATAAACTATTACACATGTAGCAGGTATACAAAAATCAAAACAAAAACAAAGAATAATTCTAACCTTAGACACACAGTTGTCACAAATAGCTCCACAGAAATTCCAACACTCCTCTCGATTAAAGTCTCGTTCTCCAAAGTAATTAAGCAGCTGTGATCGTCGACAGTCAGCCACGTTCTCACAATACTGTACCATTCTGAAGAGGTTGTCTATATGAACTCTTTTGGAATCAAATGTGGCTGCCTGATCCACTGTGAAGAAACAAAACATACTCAACATTTTAGATTTAAAGTCAAAATGTTGTCGTTTGATTTTGAACAAAATTAAACATGTTTCCAATATATATGTACAGCTTATATAATGACCCTCATACATGTAAATAAAATATCATTTTTTCCACAGAACCCTGGTACGTGTAGTACATTATAACAGACCCCCCTACTTACTCTCTATAATCCTCCTCAGTCTTTTGACGTCATGGTACGTGTAGTACATTATAACAGACACCCCTACTTACTCTCTATAATCCCCCTCAGTCTTTTGACGTCCTGGTACGTGTAGTACATTATAACAGACCCCCCTACTTACTCTCTATAATCCTCCTCAGCCTATTGACGTCCTGGTACGTGTAGTACATTATAACAGACCCCCCTACTTTCTCTCTATAATCCTCAGTCTTTTGACATCCTGGTATGTATAGTACATTATAACAGACCCCCCTACTTACTCTCTATAACCCTCCTCAGTCTTTTGACTTCCTGGTACGTGTAGTACATTATAACAGACCCCCCTACTTACTCTCTATAATCCTCCTCAGTCTTTTGACGTCCTGGTACGTGTAGTACATTATAACAGACACCCCTACTTACTCTCTATAACCCTCCTCAGTCTTTTGACGTCCTGGTACGTGTAGTACATTATAACAGACCCCCCTACTTACTCTCTATAACCCTCCTCAGTCTTTTGACGTCCTGGTACGTGTAGTACATTATAACAGACCCCCCTACTTACTCTCTATAACCCTCCTCAGTCTTTTGACATCCTGGTACGTGTAGTACATTATAACAGACCCCTCCACTTACTCTCTATAACCCTCCTCAGTCTTTTTACGTCCTGGTACGTGTAGTACATTATAACAGATCCCCTACTTACTCTCTATAATTCTCCTCAGTCTTTTGACGTCCTGGTACGTGTAGTACATTATAACAGACCCCCCACGTACTCCCTATAATCATCCTCAGTCTTTTGATGTCCTGGTATGTGTAGTACATTATAACAGACCCCCTACTTACTCTCTATAATCCTCCTCAGTCTTTTGACGTCCTGGTACGTGTAGTACATTATAACAGACCCCCTACTTACTCTCTATAATCCTCCTCAGTCTTTTGACATCCTGGTACGTGTAGTACATTATAACAGACCCCCTCCTACTTACTCTCTATAATCCTCCTCAGTCTTTTGACGTCCTGGTATGTGTAGTACATTATAACAGACCCCCAACAACTAACTCTCTATAATCCACCTCAGTCTTTTGACATCCTGGTACGTGTAGTACATTATAACAGACCCCCTCCTCTACATACTCTCTATAATCCTCCTCAGTCTTTTGACGTCCTGGTACGTGTAGTACATTATAACAGACCCCCAACTTACTCTCTATAATCCTCCTAAGTCTTTTGACGTCCTGGTATATGTAGTACATTACTAGAAAACTGACCAGTCAGCAAGGGCCCTGCCATGGGGTAGAATTAATAGGGTGCAGCTTACGGAATGATTAAAAAATGTACGAAGAATAAGCAACAGCAACAGCAACTGTATTCTTAAAATTTCAAGATAATTCCTGAATATTCAAAAACCTGAAAATAATATCCTTGTACTTACATTAGGCAGTAAAGAACAACTTAATGTATATTTAAACAATTATGAAGAATTTGTGTTATATAAAATGCCAGCCTTGAATGAATGCAAATATCATGAAGGCTTGACCTTAACTTCAAACAAACAGCAGTTGCAGACAAAGGTTTTCATTAATCTTAAAGTGACAGAATTGTAAATCGCAGAACTTTGGGATAATAATGGAAACACACCAGAATAATGTATGTTTTGCATACATTATGTCTTAAGAGGGGAGGAGTGTAATGGTGGAAGATTTATTTTTGTATATTTATTAGATTATTCTTGTGTATTATTATTACTATAGATAACTATATTGTGTAATACATAGTATTCAGTCGGGAACGTTGCTGGCGCAGCGCGTGGGTCAGGCTGTTCTTAGTAACGCCAGTGACCGGCCTGACCACCGTGATACGCCTGTTGCAGTCTCAGCTAGGCACAAGTAGTCGACGGACGTACATCAAATTTATCATTATTCATATAGGTAATAATCTTCCACCAATCCCCAGATTTCACTTGTTATTTATATATTTATTACCTGATTGTTTAACTTATTAAACCTGTAAAACGTTATTATTGTTTTTGTCACTGTAAATCGCAGAACTTTGGGATAATTATGGAAACACACCAAGTTTCCCGTTACAGAATAAAGAAAAGCCTACTTAATTTTCTGCAGCTGGCTAGATAATTAATCCCAAGGGATTAATTGTACCTCTCTCATCATTTTCTTCTAAAGTACAATAAGAACTTTTTCATTATTAATGATAGAATGGGGTTTTTATACAACTATTCTAAAAATTAATAATATGCTTGAATTAACATAAAGTGAAAAAAGTAAATCAAAAAATGGTTCAAAAAATCTTCTTTAATCTATTTCTTGTTATTAGAATTCAATGAAATCATAACTATTTAACAAATACAAATTATAAAAAATTATAATATTTAAATCCACATTTCAGAGTGTTCATAGCATTCCAAATTGACTTAACTTCAAAACAAACTTCATTTGCAGACAGAGGTGGTAATTCATCTCAATTTGACAGATAAAGATAATGCTCTGGATTTTCTTCAGGAGGAAAGCTAATTAATCTCAAGGGACTCATAGCAGCATTCAGTTTTACAATAGGAACATCTTCAGCAGTTATCTCTCTTTGCCAATGCTTTTGTATATAAAGTTAAGGAATCTACCCCACCACCCCAGCTCCAAACCAGGGGACATAGAGAACCAAACTTAGCATCAAAATATGTATTTCTGCCTACTGAACTATCATACCAAATTTGTACTTGATAGGGCAACCATAAAAAAAGTTGCCCATTCATTCTTATGCATAGTTAAGGAATCTACCCAACCACCCCAGCTCCAAACCAGAAGACATAGAGAACCAAACTTAGCATCAAAATATGTATTTCTGCCTACTGAACTACCAGACCAAATTTGATCTTGATTGGGCAACCATAAAAAAAGTTATAAGAAAAAAACAGAAAATTTGTGGACGGAAGAGTGACAGACGGACAGACAGACAGACAGACAGCTAGACAGACGGACGGACAGAGTGATTACTATAGGGCACCCGCAAATCCTTGCGGGGCCCTAATAACAGACCCCCTACTTACTATCTATAATCCTCCTCAGTCTTTTGATGTCCTGGTACGTGTAGTACATTATAACAGACCCCCCTACTTACTCTCTATTATCCTTCTCAGTCTTTTGACCTCCTGCTACGTGTAGTACATTATAAGTTATTTATAACAGACCCCCCCCCCTACTTACTATAATCCCCCTCAGTCTTTTGACGTCCTGCTATGTGTAGTACATTATAACAGACCCCCTACTTACTCTTTATAATCCTCCTCAGTCTTTTGACGTCCTGGTACGTGTAGTACATTATAACAGACCCCCCTACTTACTCTCTATAATCCTCCTCAGTCTTTTGACGTCCTGGTTCGTGTAGTACATTATAACAGACCCCCTACTTACTCTATATAATCCTCCTCAGTCTTTTGACGTCCTGGTACGTGTAGTACATTATAACAGACCCCCTACTTACTCTTTATAATCCTCCTCAGTCTTTTGACGTCCTGGTACGTGTAGTACATAATAACAGACCCCCTACTTACTCTCTATAATCCTCCTCAGTCTTTTGACGTCCTGGTACGTGTAGTACATTATACAGTGAGCTAACAGTCCGTCCCTCCCGGCTCGCCCCGCCTCTTGATAAAATCCTTCCACGGACTTCGGCAAGGAGTAATGAATGACAAATCTGACATCGGGTTTGTCAATCCCCATTCCAAAGGCAATGGTGGCACATATAACCTGAAAATGCATATAGAGTCTAGATGCTTGGGTTTGGAACCAATTATCAAAATTTATTAGACATACTTTATTTTTTTAGGGGTGTCAACAAATACTTGACTGTTCAACTATCAGTTGAATGGACATACTATCAAATAATGAAACATCGTTCGAATATAATTGTAATCAAACGAGGCCCATGAGCCGCAATGCTTACCCGATTAATTTTGGCCCTTCTATTCTTCACCAAACAATCCCCTTTGTAATATCTATTGTGGCCCTGCCCTACCCAAGGGGTCATGATTTGAACAATTTCTGAACAATTTAGAATTTACACTACCCCAGGATGCTTCCACAGAAGTTCATTTCAGTTTTTCTGGCTTCTTGAGAAGATTTTTGAAGATTTTTACTAAATATTTCAGTGTAAAACTTTGATCATCCATTGTGGCCCTACCCTACCCCCTAGGTCATGATTTGAACAAATTTGGATCTACATTATGAATATTTGCATATAAATATGACCAATAATGTCTTTGCTGTTCTTGAGAAGATTTTTAAAGATTTTTTCCCAGTGTGTTCCCATGTTAAACTTTGACCTCCCATTGTGATTTTCAGCCCCTGGGGGCTATGATTTGAATTAACTTGAATATACACTACCTCACAATGATTCCGCATTATTTTCATATTTTCAAGTTTTCAGGTGTTTTGGAGTAGAAAATGATGCCATTAATTGATGCCAATACGTAATATCGCGATTACCTTGCAGTTACCTAACTTACATACCGCTCTTTTGCGGGGGAGTCAAGAAAGCTCTAAATCTCTGGGGCACATGACATTGTTTACAATAGTGACAATCGAATGATTCGAACACTGTAAAACACCTTTTATTCGCGAAAACTTAATTTTTGCGTAATTACGCGAGACAGTGTGCTCGCGAAACTTTAATTCTTGCATATAATACCGATTCCTTAAGATTATATAGAGCAACAGCCACAATTCATGAAAATTTTGTGTCGCTAATCAAGAGTCAATGACTATCGCACAAAAATAAGGTGTTGCGAAAATTTAGTGATCTACAGTAGTAGATTGACAAATAAGGAAAGTTTAGAATATTTTGTCAGCTTTTAAATGTGACGATTTTCCATGAAAATTTAATGAGAAAAGTCCCCTTAGTTAAAAATATTGTTGAAAATGTAACACTTTAGGATTAGCTCCTCTCAAAAATTAATTAGGCTGGTTCAGCGATTGTCTAGCAAGGTATTCCACCAGGATTTTTTTCCTTATCTGTCCTCATTAATTCTACAATGATCGATCTTTCATTGTATTCAATAGCAAATTTGCCCCCATCCAACAGACGATTCCTGCCTCCATCAGGAAAGAGTTCTAGACTGCTAAGTTAAGTAATTGCAATATCAGTTTATTAAATGATGTCATTTTAATTTTCATGAATTCATAATTAGCTCCCCTTTGATGAAGGATCTTGGATCATGGAGGACTTACTTATATACGAGTATATACAGCTATATTTTGATGTTACTTTTTAAATAGATTTAGGTAAAAGGATTTTTTAGTTAAAAATAAGTAAGGTACCTTTGAAATTTGAAAAAAAACAAGAGGCCCAAGGACCTTGAATAGCTCTCCTGATAAATTGTACAATCTATCACTTCTATTAGAAGCCTTCAACTCTATTAGTATCATACGACCCAAAATGCATCAACTGACAAACGTTGATAACATTTAGCCAGTTAAGACTGAAAACACAGGTAACTCTCGATCGATACCTCAAAGTCCGCGGGACCAAGAAAAAACTTCGAGAGATCAAGAGTTCAAGTTTCAAGAGTCCGGAATTTTCCGGGTTTGTTTGACAGGTTTAAAAATTAGTTTTACCGGATGTAATGATTTTCATGGGGGGGCTGGCAAATTTTTTTGAGACGGATTATTTATTTTCATGCCTGTCGAGGACAGATTATTTATTTTCAAGATTATCAAGGACAGATAAATTATTTTCTTCTATGTCTTACCGTACCTTGATCAATTGATTATAAAAGACTAATCATTTATATACCATATTCAGATACAGGATTTAGGGAGGGGACAGGTATAACTTTGTTTGGGCAAGAGATCTGGGGTCACGTAAGTGGGTCCTGGGCGAAGCCCTGGTGGAGGCCAAGGGAGTACACCCACACCCCCACCCCCTAAGCTCTTGGGGTTTCCTGTATTTTAAGAGTAAAACCAGGCACTATTTTAGTGGTATTGGTTATTATGAACCAAAGTATGACATAATTAATACTGGTCATACCGTACTTTGAATGAAGTAAGTTCAGGGAGCAAAGTCAACTGAAGTTCTTGGGTTTTTCAATATATATAAGAGTAAAACTTTTGTAAGAATTGGTTAGATGTGTACCAAAGTATGACATTATTAAGTCATATCATACTTTGAATGAAAAGGGCCAAGGGGGCGAAGCCCCCTTAAGCTCTTGGGTTTTTGTGTATTTAAAGAGTAAAACTAGGCACAAAAATATTGGTATTGTCCCAAAGTATGGCATTATTATTATCATTCGTATCATACTTTGAAATTTTAAGGGAGGGCCTGGGGTCGCACACATGTACGTCCCCCTTAAATCCGCCAGTGTTTATTTTGTATTAATTTATCTGGAAAGTATAATTCTTTGACAAGAATGTTTATCTTTTGTGGTATATAAGAATTGGTTTGTATTATCAATTAAAAGTTATTTATCACACCTACTAAGTGCACAGTGTCATGTTGATAAACTGACTTAAGTATCCAGTCTGGTAATCTGATTTTAAATACTAATTGGTTCTAAAATGGCGAGCGAAGCGAGCCAAAAAAAATTTTGAATTGAAGACTTTTGAGATTAAATTACACGTAAATTAAAAAGGTATTTTTACAATATTTAATTATCAGAAGTCAAGGTCAGATTATTTATTTTCTCTGTAGTGGAGGGCAGATTATTTATTTTCAACATTTTCAGGGACAGATTATTTATTTCCAAAATCTGCCAGGCCCCCACCTCAGAATCAAATGGTCGTCCCCTAAGTGTTTCGTCTTGTAATCAGCAATTTCAATTTCTCAGTGACACTGCCTTTCTAAATTATCGTAATACGGTCAATGATAATTATTTTGATAGCATATAGACATCATAAGATTAATTGTAAATCAATTATCACCTTGCAGTATTAGTGTCACCTGAATAAACATCCCGTTTCACGAGACCCGCGTCTTCTGCCTGGGGCCATTAAATGTCCAGGTAAAGTTGCTAATTATGTAACTTTGTATACACATAGTCACTTCGAGGTATCAAGGGTAAATTTTAATAGAATTTGCACAGCGGGACTGCATTTTGACTTCGAGGGATCAAGGGTTTCGAGAGATCAAGAGTTCGAGAAATCAAGAGTAAATTTGCTTAGTTATATAGTGGAAAAAATCGGGACCGGAAACTCACTTCGAGCATTCAAGAACTTCAAGAGATCGAAGTGTGAGCCATCAAGAGTTCCTGTATTATAATATAATTATAAAATACCATAAGTAGGTCACAGTGACCCACCTTTTGATTGAAATTTTCTGATGACTCAAGATACATTAATTGACAAAGTTTCATGATTCTAAGCCAATAAGTACGTAAGATATTCAAAAGTAGGTCACTGTGACCTACTTCTTGGTCGACATTATCCGATACCCTAAGATGCCTCAACTGACAAAGTTTGATGATTCCTTACTTATGCAAATAAATACCAGATATAATTAAATATAGCCATCAAATATCAAAAGTAGGTCTCGGTGACCTACTTTTTGGTGATGTTCTCCAAAAACCCAAGATGCCTAAACTGACCAAGTTTAACGATTCTAAGCAAATAAGTACCTGAGATATTCAAAAGAAGGTCACCATGACCTACTTCTTGGTCGACATTCTTTGATACCCTAAGATGACTCAACTGACAAAATTTGATGATTCCGAGGCAATCAAAACCAGATATAATTAATTATAGCCATAAAATATCAAAAGTAGGTCACAGTGACCTACTTTTTGGTCGATGTTCTCCAAAAACCCAAGATGCCTAAATTGACAAAATTGGATGATTATAAGCTAATAAGTACCTGAGATATTTAAAAGTAGGTCACCATGACCTACTTTTTGAACGACATTCTCTGAAACCCCAAGATGCCTCAACTGACAAAGTTTGATTCTTCTAAGCCAATAAGTGCCTGAGATACTTAAGTATAGCCATAAAATGTCGATAGTAGGTCACCGTGACCTACTTTTTGGTCGACAATCTTCAAAAACCAAAAATGCATCAACTGACAAAGTTTGATGATTTAATGTCAATAAGTACCACAGATACTTAAATATAGCCACAAAACTGGAAAAATAGGTCATGGTGACCTAATTTTTGGTCATCACATTCTTAAAACCCAAGATGCATCAGCTGACAAAGTTTTGATGATTCTAAGCCAATAAGTACCGGAGATACTTAAATAAAGCCATAAAATGTCAAAAGTAGGTCACTGTGACCTACTTTTTGATTGTCACTCTCCGAAAACCCAAGATGCATCAACTCACAAAATTTGATGATTCTGAGCCAATAAATACCTAAGATACTTAAATATAGCCATAAAATGTCGAAAGTAGGTCATCGTGACCTACATTTTGGTAGCCATTTTTCAAAGTCAAAAGATGCATCTACTGACCAAGTTTGATAATCGTAGGTCTGAAGGTAATCAAAATATGCCTTTTAAACAATTTGAAAACAAATGCCGGCAAAATTCAATAAGTAGGTCACAGTGACCTAATTTTTAATAAATATGTTTTAAGATCCCACTCCCAAGATGCATCAACTTACGACATTTGATGATTCTAAACCTCTCAGTGTCTCAAATAATGGGATTAAATGTTTAAGAAAGGATTAGTCATCAAGTTCAAAAAGTTTGATGATCATAGGCCTTAAAGTGTCCAAAATATGCCTTCAAATCAATTTGAAAACAAAGGCCGGCAAAATTTTAAAAGTAGGTCACCATGACCTACTTTTGAGTTAACATGATGTGAAGTCCTAAGATGCATCAACTTACAAGATTTGATGATCCTAGTCCTTATAGTAAGCAAAATATAAAATTAATGTTTGTGTTAATTGTAAATTTAGGTAAATTTTGAAGTGACCTTGAGACCACGCCCTTTGCCCCAAGGTAATTCCCAGCGTAAATTTTAATCTTCGACATATCCTGATCCTTGTATGTAAGTTTGGTGAAAATCTGCCAGGTCGTTCTGGAGAAGAAGATTTTTTAGCAACCAGTACTTTTGGTTTTGTATTCCTGATTATCTCCCATTGTTTAAGGGTCCCAACCCTTATTTTAGTAAAAATGGTAGCCCTTAGGCCAAGGATACCCTGTGACAAATTTGACACTGATTGGCCAGGGGTTCTTGAGTTATGGCCCATATTCTAAAAAGTTAATGCACACCGCACAAATGGCCATAGCATTAGCTCTTTGAGCCTTCGGCTCAAAACAGCTAAAAATTTCAGAAAATGTTAAAATATATTCTATTATCGTTCGAATCGACTAAGAAAATTAAATATTTTTACAACTCTAACTGAACATTTCTAATCATTTATTGTTTGAAGACAAATGTTTATTACTTGACAAAATGTTTATTAATGTTTGGAAGTGAGTACTCTTTCATGCAGCTTAAAGCTGAACACGACTCGTAAATAGGCATACGCCATTTTTGATACCATTATCTACAATACATCAATACTAGGGTATACTCGTCGCATTCGTTACACCTGACTGCGTTATTGTCACAGGTATCGGCGTGTAATAGCGACCCGTGTTCGTGCTGGTTATCTTGCATTACTTTTGTTTATAATTTATTGCAGTTACATTTATCTAACGTTGTTTGTATACTGCACTGACTTATATAACTACATGTATAATTGTAAATTTATTTGGTATCTTACTTTCCTGCATTAGACGAAGTATTACGTTATTATTCTCACTACCAAGTCCTGTATAGCATACGTCTGTCTACACCGGTGTTGACTGATTACACTGAACAGTCTCTAATTCTTACCCTATTCATAGGGGTCTGCAGGATAGCGAGACTCGGGAACAAAAATGGCGGACACATTACTTTTACGAATCGTGTTCAGCTTTAAGTATGTTGTGGAATTGATCGCTTATTTTAGAAATTAAAAGTAACAGCATGATATTTTGTTTCTGTAGCATTCCACCCATGTAAGTTTAACTTTCTTAGACTTTCATACAATTGAAACTTGCTTGTCACACAGACACATCTTATCTAAGTTCAATGAGTTTCTTTAGTGGGAAGCCGTGAAAACAGTTTAAGAGTGAATCATTATGATAAGTTTGATAAGATAAATCAATGTCATATTTTATTATTATATTGTTCATAGATTTCACTGCAGATATTTGATTTTTTTCATCACTTTTCTGTTTCCACATTGAGCAACAAACAGATTGTCATTTGTATCAGTACACAGTCCCCAGGGTCCGCATAGCCCACAGTCTATGTAACGTAGGAACTGTCCATACTGGTCTATGATGTGGACACAGTCATTCCAAAAATCAACTGTTAGGATGTGACTTTGACTGTCAGTGGTGATTCCTAGTGGATCAAATGATTTGTTCTTTGGAGCAGGAGTATGTCCAGTGTACCTAAATCTCAGTTTCCCTGCCTGATTGACCACCATTACTGCTCCAGCTCTTTCATCAGACACACAGATATCCAGGTTCCTGTTCTCTGTTATATACTTTCTATCAGTAGCAGAAGAATAGAAAGATATACCTTTATCATCAAACTGAATGGTTTGTTTCTCTGTGGAGCCAGAGTAACGGACAACTTTTGACAGTTCGTAATCATCACTGTCCATGATAACCAGGAGGTCACCAGAGGAGGTACTACAGACACCGTGAGGTTTCCAGTTCTGTAGTCTGATCACCTCCTCTATCTTCTCATTCTTCACAATGTTCACAGTTCTATCATTGTAATCAGTATAAACTAGATCTCCACTCTTTGTCACTGCTATATATGTTGGTCTGTTCCCTGACTTGGTTGTGATTGACTTGAGCAGTGATCCCTGATTGATGCTGTAGAGTTTCATGGATTTGTCACTTCCACTTGTCCAGATTTCTTCATCACTCAGACAGACCACATTGTAAAGGTCATATTCATACTCAGTGTTTATGGTGGTGACAGTCTCTGGTCCATCAAGCAGCTGTTTGACTGGAGGAGAGGATCCAGCTTCTGGTGATTTCTGTGTTGTCTTCATGCTGTAGCCATGTTCATCTGATGTTAAAGAACTTGATGATAAGGCTCCAAACAATTTACATAGTTCTTCTTGATGAATTTTTTCTGGAACGAATTTGGATAACAATGGTATTATCTTGTGTGGAAGATTTATGTATCTAGGTACATTAGACTTGACACTAAATATTTCTGACAAGTCATTAGTGTCTATTGCAGTTTCCATTGAATTGATTTCTTCCTTGATATCAGTAATGTTCTTGTTTATTTCATCCAGATGTTTCTGTAGAGTTTTTAACTGTGTGTTTTTCATCTCATCAACTTCAGCTTTCAGTTTCTTGACAAGTTTGTCAATTTCTCTGTGCCAGTCCTCTCCATGTATTGTTATGGCTGTTGAAAGTTCCCCATATTCCTTTTCTAACTGACTCATTCTGTTTTGTACATCAGAGGCAATGTCCTGGTAGGTGGGATAAATTGTTTCATTTAATTCATTTCTTTCTTTTATAATAATATCCTTCTTTTCATCCAGAACTTGCAAGACTTTAGATAATTCATGTCCTAAATGTTGTTTAGATGCAAGGCAGCTAAGACAGACAGGAATGTCACATTGTTTACAGTACATTTCACATCGTTCTTTGGCATGAGATGTACATCCAGGGTATAGAAGGGTGGATTTTCTGTCCTTAAAGTCAACAATTTTATGAGGTTTGGAGAGATCATCAAAAACATGCTCCCCCATACAGGCCTTACACAAGTTGACATGGCAAGTCTTGCAGTACACTTGGACCACAGCAGTCTCACACAGGTCACATCGCATCACGTCCTGGGCACTGGTACTGGGGTCCATCCTTTTCGTAACTGAAGCATAAAAGATCAATATTTTAAGGATTATACATTTATTGACTGGATTTAAAGATAACATGCATTTTTACTGACTCCATCATATAAACAAGCTTTAAAGATAAACATGTAGATAGAAAAATCATCATATTATACATACAAGGCTTTGTATTAAGGAAATTTCGTTCCCCTTAGTTAAAGCTTGTTACTGAATTTTTCAATACTTTCAGAATTATTTTCATATGCTCTGAAAAACTTCTGAATTTCTTACCTGATTTTAGTAATGGTGTCCACCCTTTTAATCGAACTCCAACTGCAGTCTTTCTGTTATGTATTCTGATCATGTGACACACCTGTGTTATCTACCTGTCAGGTGTTTATACTTCCTGGTCTAGATAGGCATTTAAATACCTTCAACAACCACTCTTTGAAATGCATTTATATTTGTTTTTTATAGTTCATGTATTTTTTTTTTGCTGGTTAGAGACCAGAAGTGTCTGTCTGTGTGTAAACAATTCTTACAGTTTTGGCTTGATTTTAAAATAATTTGGCATGCCACAAAAGTAGACTACACTGAGATACATATAACTGTCCCATATACTCGCGAAAGTGAGGTGACATTAAATCTCATTCATCTGTCTGTCTGTCATTTTGTAACAAAAACTTTTACCATGGTCATATCTTTACATTCTTTTGAATGAGAAGAGACAGGACTTTCACATTTATACATATTATGTGTACTAGGGCTACCTGTGACAAAACCTTTTAAAATGCACTAAGATTTTTTATTCCGTGATCTTGACATTGGAGTTTGACCTTTTCAAAAATTTATACATTAAACTTAATTGGCCAGAACTTTGGAATGAGAAGAAATATGGCTTTAATACTAAACAGGTGTATTACCTGTGTCAAGACCTTTCTAAATACACTTTGATTTTTGACTTGACCTTCACCTTCAAGTTTGACCTACTTCTCAAAAACTTGAACGTTGGTCATTACTTTTGATTGAGAAGATAAAGGGCTTTAGCCTTTCATATGTATTTTATAAGTGACAATACCTTTCTATACACTATGATTTTTGACCCCATGACCTTGACCTTTATATTTGTCTACTTTTCACAAATGTTATATTTACCTTATATTTTTTTAAGACAAAATAGGACTTTTCTTATTTGACGTGTATTATCAGTGACAAGATATTTCCGAGCATGCCATGATTTCTGACCCCTTGACCTTCACGATTGACCTAATTTTCCAAAAATTTTGGCAATTACTTCTGAATGACATATGATTGGACGTTCATATTTGACACAATATGTCATAATGACATATCACAAAGACATCAAGTATTGAGGAGTGAAGATGGGGTCTCCACTTTTTTTTTTTTTGGGGGGGGGGGGGGGGGTAATTAGACTGGTCACTCACCTTACATCTCTGTCCATTGAGCCACTTTTCCTGGATAGAGATTCTGTCGTTGTCACTGAGACCTGCGTGGTAGGATACAGCCTGGATACCAGATTTACTCAGCTCAGCAGCTACCGTGTCACATTCCTTTCTATGAACAGGATAAAGTCAGGTCCATATTAAAATTGAAGCAACTGACTAAAATCAGATCCTTTGATCCCCTCATATAGATCGCTACAAAAGGATCTGAAGAAACCCCATTCAGGGTCATCTCCTGGTGACCTTTCAATTATCCAGTCAAACACTCACTTATAGGGCTGGGACGATACAACTTTTTCTATATCGATACGTATCACGATATTTGAGCCACGATACGATATGTATCACGATATGTTTAATTACTTATAAAATCTTATTTTGCATTGAAATAAACAAAGTATTTCTATGCAAACAAGAATAATTTATTCAAAATAGTTGTTTATATGTTGTAAAACAAAAATATTTTACTCAAGTGGTTTTAATTATTATAAATTTATTTCATTTCTATATTTCTATTTAACTTATTTATTTTATATATTAAACCCCAAATGTTAAATAAACAGAGAAAAACAGAAGTAAGATTTTTTGGGTGATATTTCGATATTTTTTTCAAATGTATCAATATGTGTATCATCCTCACATATATCACGATATATCGATATCTCGATATATCCATACATGTTAACCTATCGTGATGAAAAATAGGAAGATTCAGACCTCAAAAGCGGTAGCATTGCGCGTGCGTTGTTTTACGCTTGGATTACCGACATATTTCATGTAATATATACATGTATGTAGCCTTAAATGAAACCTACAATAATTAATCTTAAATATCAACTGCAAAGAAGAAGACAGAAACACCTTAAGTTTGACATAAATTGTACAAATTCTAAAAATTTTTATGCTCATCATTTTGCTTGGATTGGCTGTTTAACTTAGCCTTTTGAAGAGTGATCTTTGCCAATATAGCCTAGAAGCAATAATTCTGAATGTTCATTCAGTTGTTAAACAAAACAAATGATGACATGGTTTAAACTAGATCTAAAACAAGTTCCTATCTTTCGTTATATAAATCAGATTTCCCGCGATGATCGAAAACGAAAGTAGAGATGTGCAACATGGCTTGGTCAATCGAGTGATTTCTATTGACTTTATTGATAAAATTGTAAGCTCCTGTGCTTTTAAAGACGTAGCTGCAGATCTGTAGCGTTATGGTTTTATATATTTGTCTTTGACCATAACGCTACAGTTCCTGTAATGCAGAAAAGGTGCAATTTACGGCGCAATATTTTTTGCGCACTTTTGGGAGGAATTTCTCCACTTTACAGCAATTAACTACCTTTCACTTCCTAATTATGGGCACATTATTTAACTATTCTGTATATTTTATCCATCTCCCAACCCTTTAAAATCGTCTCTACAAGTGATAAACTCTCTTGATTAAAATTATTTGTTAGACTGCTAAAAATTCACTTCAAGCGAGTTTACTGCCTGTAAAGACAACTATAAATGGTTAGGAGGTGGATAAAATATATAGATTAGTTAAATAATGTGTCTAGAATTAGGGAGTGAAGGGTAAGTGATTGACCAATGCTAGAAAGCGGAGAAATTCTCCCCAAAAGCGCGCAAAAAATATTGCGCCGTAAATTGCACCTTTTTTGCATTACGGGATCTGTAGCGTTATGGTCAAAGACACATACATAAAACCATAACGCTACAGATCTGCAGCTTTTAAAGACGATGCCAAACGTTTTCATCTAATTATTAAAAGCTGTATCTCCTTTTTCATGGCATAGATGTTGACTAAATTTATCGTAACCGGTCATCACTGGTAATCTTGTGCTGTTGTCGTTGTCAAATTCGCGCTTGAAATCTATGTACACATCGATACAAGAAAAAAAGCGTTTGTATGCTTCTGAGTAAAATCACGCGATATCTAACGAGATTTTATGAGAGTGGCTTCAAAAATGGATACCCAAGCGAACCAAAAATACTTTAGATGCAACTTTTGTAGAAAAGCGGTAGATTTCTTAATTAAATCGGTAGGCGGGAGATGGAGTAACGGTAGACTCCCGCCTAAATCGGTAGAGTTAACATGTATGATATATCGTCCCAGCCCTACTCACGTGTAGGAATTTTGAAGTATCTCAGAAATGATACACGAATGGAAAACTGAGACCTAGTTTCGGTAGCCTGCCAAGAGAGGATCAAGAAGTTGATAAGTCTTTTCTGTACAGAATTATAATAAGTACTTGCTTTTGCCTTGTTTTTTAGCTCTTTGTTTTGTATGAAATGATAAAATCTTCTCCACAGCTACTTTCACTTCTACATTTATTTTCCCAAATGTTGCTTAAGTACAATCTGTCTGACTGGTCAAAATTCTAATGAATATTTTTATTAGAAAGGTCACCAGGAGATGACCCTGTATGGAGTTTCTTCAGATCCTTTGTGTAGCAGTCTATTTGAGCAGATCAAAGGATCTGATTTTAATCAGATTGAAATTCTGGCTGACTAAGATCAAGCTCAGAATATTCATACCAGAGTTGTTAAAATTAGTGTTTACAATTTCTAGAAAAGTCATTCCTTTAAGAGTAAAGGATGAAGTTTACTCAGGTTTCAGAAAACAGAAAGGAAATTTTATAAAGTATAATATTTTAAATCAAGAATTGTTCTATTTGGATAAAATAAGCAAGTTTTAAATCAAAATCAATTTGAAAATTTAATATTTTATTATTTAAAGAAAATATACATGAACAAAAGTCAATGTATAGTAATGCAGAGGAAATTCGGACTAATTTTTTTATTTTCCATTTTTGTCAAAAATTTTTATTTCTTGCAATATTAATCACAAAGTAAAGATTACATGTATTTTTAAACATCATTTTGCAAATATTATATGTGTTAAAGCTTATAAATTATTTCAAATTATTGAATGCTGTGAAAAATATGTACAAAAACTAGTGTTGGCAAATCGGACGATTTTTAGTAACCGGTTACTCGCTTAATCTTCCGATCGAGTACCCGGTTACTCTGATGATTTTTGGTAAAAGTATCAATATCTTATTCTATACTTATTGGTAGTAGTGATGCACAGATATACTGTATAGGGACATTATATTTGAAATACACATATACGATATCGTCATATCAAAATAAAGAAAATTAATAGGGACTTCGACACACGAAGAAGACAAATAAATACGTCATCGTCAATCACCATTTTACACTTTCCTTTTCATAACCCGAAATATGTCGCAATCAAGTAGAATAAATATTTACATACCCCATAATTAATAGTTACATATGTATTATGTAATATGTGGAGTGTCCAGTAAATCGCTGGTTTCCGAATATTTTAAGCTTAGGTGATTTAACCGATTTTGAATCAGCTGTTCTTTTGTTTTAACTCCAAGCTTATTATGTCTGTGGCGGCATCTCGTTAAATTATCAAATGAGGTAATTAAAACTCAGGCCTTCAAAATATGTATACCCCATGCAATCAATTATATAAACTGTGAAAACTAATAAAAACAATTTGATCCACTACAACAATGCACTAGATCAAGTCTAACGGTACCTAAAATTAAGGAAATGTATAAGTTGGTATACATTTATAAATTATAAAACATTCATCATATTATGTAGAATTTATTTTATCCGAGTAACCGAATAGCAGTTTTACTAACTGATACTCGCATCGTTCGACGGTTAACCGGTTAACCGGGTACTTGTTACCAACACTAACAAAAACCATTCGAGACAACGTATCTCAATAATTTGATCATTGACCCCTTATAACATGAATACCATGAGAACAAGGGCAACAAAAGTAATCTGAGGCTATCAATAGTTTAGAGTTCTTATCAGTCAGATTTTGGTAATATTCGATTAAAAATGGGGAAAAAATATAAATATGACAGAGGAAATTCGGACTGTAAAAATTATCACTTTTATGGCCCAAACTCCAATCCATTCTTAATATGAAGCAACGCTGTTCCATTGCTATAATATTTCATTATTTAAAAAATTTTAAACTTGTAATATTTTGTGCGTATAGAAAAAATTGGTCATAGTGTGAAAAATTGAGGTATTTCACAAAAGAAATACTCAGGGCCTACTAGCATGAAAAGTAGGTCATTGACCTAGTTATTTGAAATTGAAATTTAACACAAGAATCATAGGTGTACAGTGTGCAATAGGTAGTTTTTCGTTCTTATCAGTGGAATTTTTGGTCATCCTGAGTAAAGGTATACCTTAAGGGTGAATATACTGTTGTTTAGGGCTGTCACGGTTAACCGAAAACTCGGTTAACCGCTCCGAAATGGCATTCGGTTCGGTTCGAGTCAGGTTTTCCGGAATTCGGTTCGGTTTTTTTTATCTTTTATATAATACTAATTTGCTTGCAACACGTGTTGTGATTGGTTGTTTATTTCAATGAAGAGTTCTTTAACCAATGAAAATACAGGTAACATCGAAGACATTTAAACATGGCATACACATGTGGAAGGAAAACCACATCACAAGTGTGGGAATACTTCACGTTTTGAATGTTTCAATTGTTTGAAACAAGATAACTCTAGTCAATAACTATATTTATTTTATTTTATTTTAAACAAGAAGTTTATTACTTTGTTATTTTTTGTTACATTTAACAACTTGTTCTGTTGAATAAAATGGATAGAAATTTGTGTCAGCAAAATAGTACTTTCTACAATGTCCTTAATCCTTATTATCCTTTGATATATATAAAGATGTTTTATTTAAATTCTCAAAATGAAAACCGAACCGAAGAAACCGAAAACCGAGAATTTATTTTCTGAACCGAACCGAACCGAAAAATGTCTGAACCGTGGCAGGCCTACTGTTGTTTAAATTAATTTTAACAACTTCTTTTCTGAGTTAATTTTGAATCTATTTTGAGATACTGAATTTAAAAGTTCTTTTATTGAACCCCAGTTTGAACCAAAATACTGACCTGGAAAGACAATACACAATGCCACACTTTCCTGGGAACTGTTCCTTTATCAGTTTTGTCACATCTGCTGTTAGTGTTGACGGTTTCTTAGGTTCAACTCGGAATTTCAAATTTGGGCGATTGAAGCTCTGAACAAAACTGCAAAAAAGCAATCAAAATACATATATGTACAAAAGGTATGTTTTTCCTTTTAATATTTTTGAAAACTTAATATGCTAAGGTCAAGATCTAGTAAATAACTTTAGACTAATATTTTGGTGCTAGATCCATTATGACGTCATAATCAATTTCAACTTTCATTTTCCCGTACTTTACCGCTTTAGCAGAATTATGTAGAAAAAATGGTATTTTCATGACATTCAATTTGAATTCATATGAAAAGTAAACTGGATACCTATATTAGATTTGATATTAATTCAAAGAAGAGGTCACGAACATACTAAATATCGTTTTCTGAGAGACTGTAGGGAATCTGCATACATTTCCTCTGTCGAATTATGAAAAAAAAAAACCCATATTCATGACTGATTTTCTAAATTTTTCATTGAAAATGACAGTTTAAAATACAGTTTTTAATCTTGTTTACCTACAAATTATGTCCCAAAACACCTTATTTGACCAAGCTAAAGTTGTAAAGCATCAATAAAGGAATTTATTTCTCAAATTTGATAAATCTGTAGGCACCTATCATTTACTAGATCTTGACCTTAAAAAAGTAAAAGGTACCATTTTGGATTTTTCATTCCCAGCTGATAGATAACATCCTTACGGACTCTCATGTTGGCCGTGGCAGTCAGTGCCATCATAGGAACTCCTGGGTACTTCTGTTTCAGGACCCCCAGCTTCTTATAGTCTGGCCGGAAGTCATGTCCCCACTACAAAAACAAATTCTACCTAAACTTCTCTGGTAAATAGCTTGTAACATAATTCATCATACATATACACATAGGCTTTGATTTTTTAATGATAATTTATTTTAAAATAAGAGAATTTTTTTCAGATTTTTCATTTTTCCCCTTTTATATTTTGCAATTACACATGTACAAGTACCTAGTTTGTTCCTAGTTTTATTTGCACAGATTTTTTGTCTACTGGGTAAATAAGGCTGTATATATTGAAAGATTTCCAAAACCATGAAAACAATTCTAAAATGTTAATTTCACCTGGCTGACACAGTGAGCCTCATCAATAACAAATCTAGTCAACTTCCCTCTTCTGTGTAAATTTTCCAAACTACTCAACAGCTTACCACTGGCTGAAATCTACAAAACAACATATCAATTTCATGTAGATACATGTATTAGGTACTTTAAACAACTCTGATATATATACAACCCTTATTATCTCAAACTCAATGGTACTAAGAAAAATATTTCGAGATATGAGAGGCTTTGAGATTCATGTATTGAGGGTAAAGTACTTAAAGAATAAGAGGTCTGGACTAAAAAATCACTTCAACATATCCATGGTATTAAAGAGATTGGGTTTGAGATACCAAAGTTCAACTGTTCATGTAGTTTATATAGTATACACTACTGAAGTCCACTGTCATACAAAATACATGTTCCAGTATATATAAGTGTACACAGATTTTTCTGTCATTTTTAAGTACACATGTACCTTTTCTGGAGTGACATAGAGTAGTGTGATCTCCGGGGTTTTGTAGTACAGTTTTCTGTAGATCTGATCAGATTGACTCTGGTCCATGTCTGATGAAAGCTGACCTGCCTGTATCTGTAAACAATTCAATTCTTAAAAAAAAATACTTTGTGTATTGTATTCATAAATTGATCATAACAACTAAGACAAAATTTACTGATCACAACACTTTTCACATATACATATGTATTCTTCATTCCATTAGCACTTTAAAATGCTCACATACTAAAATGACATGTGTATGTTATTTGGCAGAAATTGACTTTTCATCAAGGTAAGCATTGATTTTATTTGATTTAGCATTTTCTGAATGTGCTTTATATGAATATAATATTTATACACAAGACATTCAGCGATATACTTGACTTAGTGGAAGTTGCAAAGGAAAAAGGCAAAAATTTAATACTTTTTCTGTACGTCCATTTATACACAATGCACTATTCCACCAAGATTCAAATTTCCGACACTGATCAGCCTCAACATGCAGTAAGTATAGTCATGGCCCACTAATCCACATTGACCTAATTAGACTTACATCCATGGAGCAGAGCCTGGTGACCTGGTCCTGTATCAGAGCCTTCAGGGGGGATATAATGATGGACACGCCCCCCGTCACCAGGGCAGGCAGCTGGTAACACAGACTCTTACCGCCACCTACAATTAAAAAAGTAGCGTTGATCAAATAGATTAATGATAAAATATGATAATCCAATAACTATTTTAAAAAGGAATGCCTTCAATCACCTTTTTAAGGTTTTCTTTTTTAAGTTATCTAGTGAAAAGAAAATACTGTTTGATGAACTTTGATCCTCTGATATTTTAACCTGCATACATGTATGTACATTAATTTTTTTCAGAAGGACCTCTCACTTAGTGTGATTCTGACATGTAAAGTATAGAATACAGTCATCAAACTTGATTAGACTGAGAAATATCAGAAGATTCAAGATATCTGAAGATTCTAAGTATCAGAGGATTCGAGATATCATAGAATTCGAGACATCAGGGGTGAATTACTTAGAGAATAAAGTGTTGGGACTACCAGATCACTTTGACACATCCAAGAAATTTTAGATTTTAATGTTTGATATGTTAAAGTCCAATGTATTTTATACCTGTAGGCATGAGAATAAAACAGTCATTTCCTAACAGTGCAGCATTGATAGCCTTGAGTTGGTTAGTACGGAATTCACGTAAACCAAACACCTGGTTGAACGTCTCCCTCATGATCACACTGTGTGGGAAGTTATAGCCATCAAACTCCTTGTTCTCCTCCTCCTCTCTCCTCTTGGTGCTTGGTGGGGAGACTGCAACAATAATTCAAAAGTATAATTAAGGCCAAACAAAAAAATATCTTTGTTTACTGTTACATGCTGAAATAAAATAGGGTCGGTAGGTAGGAATTTTTTTTTATTTTACATTTTTTTTATACACAAATTCACATGAATTGGTTGAATTACAAAACAGTTTTACCATTGTATGGTGCCTTACTTTTGTTTGGCTTGAAATATGGGTGGTTTTTTACCAACTGCCTTACAACTCAGGGGTGTGCAATTAAAAAAAATCAAGTACTTCCCCACAGGCTTGTAACAGCAATAAACATGGTAAAGTTACTAGCCTGAAGTTAAAAGTGAGCAGTCCAAATATAGGGGCAAAAAATTGTAAAAACAAGTATTGTAAAATGTTCATTGTTGAGAAAGTCAGGGTCCTAAGCCATCCCTTTTAAAGTTGAATTTTAAAAATTTTAAGAAATTATCTTAGTGTAGCTTATCTAAAATGAAGCAAAATCATTTTATTTTCATTTCAAACCATAAAATACAATTGATATATATATATATATATATATATATATATATATATATATATATATATATATATATATATAAAGTTTAACCACATAACACTTAGCAATTAGTTGATTGAGGGACCGTAAATAATGGAAAGAGATATCTGCATGTATTTACCATTAACAGAGGAATGGAGGAAATTCGGATTAGGAAAAAAACGATCGTTTTTTGAAGTAAATAAGCCAGGTAGTACTTCAAAATGGATAAGGTTAAAGTAATTTAAGAACAGCTGGAGCATGCTGCCTGAAAAATTTTCTTTAGTTGGAAATTAAATAGCAAAACAATGAGTGAAAATACCGTTTGTATTTCTCATGTATTATATGCATAATTTTAATTTTTACTACCCAAAAAACGGTAGCACCGGGCATCAGGCGATGCTAGTTGCACACCCCTGCAACTGCCACGCAATGGTATGCAAACTGCAACGAACTCGGTGGTGTAGAAATTGAACTCACTGGTTTTGTTTTTGTACTTTCAATTTCGATTTCAAAGATGAATGTAAAAGTTAAACTGACCGGCCAGTAACTTCCGGATTTCTACGACGAAAAAAAAGTTTGGGTCGGAGATGAAAATTAGGGTCGGTCGGGTAACCGTAAACAAACATAATTTTTTGTTACGCCTAATACAGATTGAGAATAATTTCGGGGGATGAAACTCAGAAGTATAGTTTATACAGAATAATTTGGGGAGTGAAACTTGCCGATACATAAACTAAGAATAAACACACTGTACTTTAAAAATTACTGCAGTACTGAAGTCTAGCAGGGGTTATTTCTTCCATCTTAACATAAATTAACAGAATGAATTGAAAAGTTGTTTCAAAAATTTTCCTACTTCCCCATGCTTCTCAGTCATGGAATGGATTTCATTTTGTCAGTTTTCAAGGAATTTATATCATCAACAACAACGTCTCTTACTTCTACATGTTCTGTTTCCTTTCAAATTTGTTATCTGGTCAACTGTAGGGAGTGAGTTGCTATTTTCTTCTTGGCTACCTTTTACAGATTAAAGCCTACTTACCAAAGCTCTGACTGGTGCTCTGTCTTCTAGGCGTCACAGAAATCTGTGGTAAAGAGTCTGACTGCACTTCCTCTGTAAATTCCGAGTCAAAGTCATCAGGGGCAAACAGTTCCTCAGGAAACTGATCAATCAAATCAGCCTCGTCTTCAGAGTCTGGAACACTAGTGGAAAGTTTGTCCTGCCTAGCTGGCTGTGTCTGTATCACACCACTGTCATTATTCAGTTTATAGTCAAAGCTAAAGTCTGTGGTCGATGGTGCTTCAATGGTACTTAATGAGTTGCCTGTTCCCAACGATTGGTTGTGTGAAGTACTAAATGAGGGACATCTATCAGTTGATTGGTTGAAATGAGAGGTAGATGCTGATTGGTTCAAATATGATGTATCTGATTGGTTCATAAATGAGGAAGTGGCTGATTGGTTGAAACTCATCACAGGTGGCTCTTTGAATGAAGAACTGGGAGATTTCCTGTTGAATGAGCTGATGAAACTGTGATGCGTTTGAGTCAATTTAGCATCCTCCTCAAAGAAGCTGTCTCCACAGGGTATTGGGGAATTAAAACCCGTGGGAGTGGTCTTCTTGAAAGAGAAGGACCTACTAGGACCAGAACTTGGAGAATTAAATGTCTTTTCTGCTGCAGGGGTTGAGGTATTGGACAACAGTGCTGACCTGGGTGGCACTATGGGACTACATATATCACCGGATTTCACACTATTCTGATGTGAAGCTGAATCCACACTGTCAAATGTCTGATAATTATCTGACAAGGGGAGCTTACTGCCTGCTGCAATGCTTGTCAATGTTGCTGCTGGTGCTGACAATCTCTTTATGCTTCTATTCTGCTCTTTTGCAGCATGAGAATCCTTCAACTGCTTCCTAAATTTTCATACAAAAAAAATTCAGTCAATATATTCATCTTTATACAAAGCAAAGTTAGGAACAGGGTAACATGAAGACCATATTCCACATTTTGATTATTGAAAGGAATATATGATAATGCTTACCAATAACATTTGGCCAGCCATTTTTAATTTTTCCATCACGTGATTAAAAAAATTTGCATTATACTTGTAAACAATACCAACAGGAAATCTTAACAGAACACTTTTTCATAACTTAGAGTCAGAAGATGATGAAGTCACTGATAGTTGACATATTGTTTCAGTATACAGTTATGTACCTTAGAGCCAATAGATGCTGGAGTCGTTGATAGTTGACATATTGTTTCAGTATACAGTTACGTACCTTAGAGCAAGAAGATGCTGGAGTCGTTGATAGTTGACATATTGTTTCAGTATACAGTTACGTACCTTAGAGCCATTAGATGCTGGAGTTGTTGATAGTTGACATATTGTTTCAGTATACAGTTACGTACCTTAGAGCCAGTAGATGTTGGAGTCGTTGATAGTTCTGGGGAAGCATGGACATAAGATCAGCTGTGCTAGCCTTACACACTATATCACAGATCTCCTCCATTGTCTTAAACAGATCTGTCTGGGTGTTGTCATCGTGTACCTATATATACAAATAAATAGTAAAATATTATATGATTCACAACTAGAAGATAAGCAATACCAACATTCCCTTAAAGACTCAGTGTGAATATAATGAACCATACTAAGGCTTGCAAAAAGGATTTCAAAGAATTAAATATTTTGTATTATTATGTATGGCGTAATGAGAATTGTACATGTTCCATATTTGAGTTTATATGAATCTTGAATTGAATATACCTCTATTGCTGCATTTGGAATTCCCATGTTCTGTTGGTTTCCGTACTTTTGTTCTTGTTGGTCTGTTTGGAGAGTTCTGAGTCTAACACCCCTGTTTTCCCAAGACCTTGGTTTAGAGGCCGTCTGTAATTCTCTTCTAACAGAGATGTTTTCCTCAGGTTTTGACATTGATTCTGCCTGTCGTGTAGGAATGATGTTCACCTGAGGCTCAAGTCGATCCAAGGAATTACCTTTTCTTAATGGCAAGCACTTTCCTACAAAAATAAGGAAAATATAAAAAGTCATTACTGCTTTGATCTGCCCTTTTCCCGATGTTTTCATGTTGGCTTCAGATGAATTATCTACAAACATGTAGATATATGTACAGTGTAGTTAATGTATACCATATCTTTTAAAAAATTTTTTACTCATAAGCAAAATGTTTACAATATAAAATTTTCCCTGCATAGCAAGTTCCCAGATGAAATCTTACATGTACCACTGAATGTGCTTTTACATTATTCAGAATGACAAATGCGATATTCTATGCACATAAACAAATTTATATGATGCGTACATTCAAATATATCTTGCATGCATACAAAATACATGTTATGCATACTTGTACAGTTTATACAATTCTGGCTCAAAATAAGTCCACAGAAAAGCAGCCTGACAAGAGGAAGATATTTGTTAGTCATGTCTTACCCATTACAGAGGAAGAACTTTGATTGGGAGATGCATCTTCTAAAGTCCGACGTCGCTTAGCTACTACACGACTTTCTTCATCTGAATCGCTGTTTCCAAACAGATCTGTCATCTACATGAATACCAAGAGAAAGAGAAAAAGAAATAGCACAATCATTGGTCTTTAATATTGTGTTGCTATCTGGCTAATCAGTTGTTCAAGACATCCCTTCAAAATCTGACAGTACCACATACTTTTATCCTGCTGATTGCTGAAATCATGATTGTACCGGTCAAAATATTTGATGGAAGAAAAATTCATGACATACATGATTTTAATTAAAATCGCTTTCACAAGGTGCCTCCTGTATTAATAAAAGTATCACTTGTTTCTAATCTTTTTTTTAAAGTATTTCCATGAAGGTGGTTTTTAGTGATATTATACAACAAATTAATGGCTTACCCCAGATGCATCCATGATCTGTCTTTCTGAGTCAGTGGTCTTGTTAAAGTTATTGGTCTTTCTTGGTGATTCCTATAAAATTGAAGCAATCAGACATAAATTAAATCAAAGAATTTTTTTAACAGAAATTTAAAAAAAAAATTCGAAAGATAAAAACTTCCATAAATGTACATGTACCTCTCTGCTAGTAGATAAATTAGCATTTCTTCTACTTGCCACTGGAGTTGCTACAAGAGAAAAACAATATATGCTGTAATAAGAATTTGAAAGCATTTCTTCTACTTGCCACTGGAGTTGCTACAAGAGAAAAACAATATATGCTGTAATAAGAATTTGAAAATGGAACTAAACATTTTAATTCCTAATGTTTCTGTTCCTTGAACTAAAATTTAAACACTGAAACAAATAAATTGATCAGAAAATTGATATGAATTTTGTTCAAGTCCTACACATAAAACATAGGTAATCAAAGATTACGAAGCTCACCTCGACGAATGTTATCAGTGTAAGTAATGCAAATCTCACATCATATTTTCTTAATATCTAGTATTTATCCCAACAACAATATTCTTGCAAGTTGTGTTTAACCTCTTACAGGGCATATACACATTTCTACTCATGTAGCGTGAAAAACATGTATAGTGTAAACAAATATTCATCAATTTGTTAATACTGCAGATATCAAGGTTCAAGTTTATTGGGATTAATCTGTTGCCAAAACTTTAACCTGATCTCTTGTATGGAAAATATAGGTCAGATCCAGCATCCGAAGCAAGTCTGGTAGTGTCCATCCCTAGATGCATCATCCATGCAAGTTTGATTCAGGTTGGGCTTACTTTACTAAGAAATAAAAATGTAGTTCAGATCAAGCATCCGAAGCAAGTCTGGTAGTGTCCATCCCTAGATGCATCATCCATGCAAGATTGGTTTGGGTAGGTCTTATAGTTCCTTGGGAATAAAAATGTAGGTCAGATCCAGCATCCGAAGCAAGTCTGGTAGTGTCCATCCCTAGATGCATCATCTATGCAAGTTTGGTCTGGGTAGGGCTTATAGTTCCTTGGAAATGGACCTACTCCAAAAACTTTAACCTGGTCACTCATCTGGAAAATGTAGGTCAGATCCTGCATCAGCAGCAAGTCTGATAGTGTCCATCCCTAGATGCATCATCCATGCAAGTTTGGTTTGGGTAGGGCTTAAAGTTCCTTGGGAATGGACCTGCTCCAAAAACTTTAACCTGGTCACTCATCTGAAAAATGTAGGTCAGATCCAGCATCCGAAGCAAGTCTGGCAGTGTCCATCCCTAGATGCATCATCCATGCAAGTTTGGTCTGGGTAGGGCTTATAGTTACTTGGGAATGGACCTGCTCCAAAAACTTTAACCTGGTCACTCATCTTGGAAATGGACCTGCTCCAAAAACTTTAACCTGGTCACTCATCTTGGAAATGGACCTGCTCCAAAAACTTTAACCTGGTCACTCATCTAGAAAATGTAAGTCAGATCCAGCATCTGAAGCAAGTCTGGTAGTGTCCATCCCTAGATGCATCATCCATGCAAGTTTGGTCTGGGTAGGGCTTATTGTTACTTGGGAATGGACCTGCTCCAAAAACTTTAACCTGGTCACTCATCTAGAAAATGTAGGTCAGATCCAGCATCCGAAGCAAGTCTGGTAGTGTGCATCCCTAGATGCATCATCCATGCAAGTTTGGTTCAGGTAGGGCTTATAGTTACTTAGGAATGGACTTGCTCCTAAAACTTTAACCTGGGACGCCGACGCCGACGCCAACGCCAACGCCGGGGGTATAGCATAAGCTCATCTCGACTTCGTCGAGGTGAGCTAAAAATCATACTTGGTATGTCGAAATCATCAAGGAAGTCATCGTCATCATCATCATCATCTAGGATGCTGATGACAGCCTTCCCGGGGGATCGCTTTCTCTTAGCCCCGCCCTCCTCAGTCTTCACAGGGGACCTTCAAACAGTAATGAGGATAAATTGAAAACAAAAGGTTAAGTGACAGATTAAAATATACACTGTAGGTCACAAATATGAACAAGATGAAGGATTAAGGTCTGTCAGATGCTGTAATATGTAAATATAGTACCTATGTGGTGCGACTGCAGCCACTGGTTTTTTCTTCTGAGCAAATGCCATGATGGAGGTTTGATGAGGCTTGAAAACATCCAAATTAAAATGCAGTGAATTTTTTTTCTCTCATCAAAAATATTAACATTTACTTTTTCATTCATTCTTTAAACATGTTAAAGTGGGTCCTATTTTTCCATAAAAAAAAAGATAATTTTATTTTCCAATTTTTGGCCCAGAAGGTATAAAGGTGTTTTACAATGACAAGATAGAAAGTTCTGAAAGAAATGTTACATACACAAACATAAACACACACACATGTACATGTATATATCTGATATAATCTATACAAGTAACTGTACATGTAGATGCAGCAGTTGGGGTTATCAAATCGCATATCAGACTTGTCGAAATTTTTTAATCGCTGTCAGACATTTGGTCTGACACAGTCGAATGTTTTGTTGGACCAGTCAAGCTTTTGTCAGACCAGATACTTGTACGTTATTTTGATGCTGGTAAAATCATATGAATAAAAGCACCAAAATTTCCTTTATTATTTTCAATAGCCTTCAATCTAACAAGTTTCCTCTCTTGGGATAGAGAGTCTTTAACATAGACATAAATGACAAGTTTTATGACTTTGCTATAACAAATTTACTTAGCTAGCGTCGAGCGTCGACATGCTGCGTACACGGCCATTGTTTTCTGTGTTTGTGACCTTGAACTATGCATCCCGATCCCGACCTTTATTAAATTTGCATTACGCTCATTTTTTTTCAAACGGTCATCTGGACCGACGTTTTTTTAAATGTTATCGGTCCAGACAAATTTTTACCGGTCTTGCCGACAGGACCGACGGATTTCGACAAGTCTGCATATTAACAAGATCAGAAGTTAAAAGCTTCACTTTTTCATGTTATTCATAGAAAATTACATATTAGACAAACCTTGCTAGATGATTGGGAAAGAAACTGATTCTATTGTTACCTTTTTATTCCTTCCACTGAACGGAACTGTTTTACTTTCAGTTGTAGGCTTCTTAGCAAAATCATCTGTTCAAAAAATAACAGAAGTAGCTCATTTATTTGTACTAACACTTTTTACTTTAAAAGGCATGACAGCATGTTTTGGATATATAACTAAATTTAAGGGTTCTGGTCCCCTAAATAAGGAATTTTATAATTCATATGAAATAGGAAGATGTACTCTACTTCTAATTCCAGAGTTGTGGAAAACTTTTGCAGATAGCCGGTCATTCGGACTGGCAAAAAAACAAACTAAGCTGGTCCGAAATAGTAAGTCGCAAAATGGAAAAAGCATAACATTTATTCATTTTATTACATATCTATTTAATTAATTGTGTTGTTAATAAAACAAAATTCAGTATCCATTTCCAAGTACTCTTCCGTTTTCTTTTAAATTTGCATTTATAACAATACTAGATACAATTATACCACCGCTTTTTGGCAGGTGACAATGCTAATTCAGCATAGTCAACGTAATCTTTTTAAATCATTTATACATTTTGGAATTATATTCACTTAGAAAAAGGGTCTAAAAATACTTTGCATCGATAATCTGATACCCGGTAATAAAGATATCAACACGATAAGAGAAAAAACGAAAATCCGTGACAGACGGAAATACTAGTTTAAATGCTTTCGCCACCTGTGCTTGAATTCTTTCTGTTGAAATTTTTAATTTAGCTCGTCTTTATCTGAAGTTTTTCTTTGATATGTTTTCTACCTAACTCGGCCCCAGTTGTGAATTTAATAGGTCACGAGAACCATGCTAGTTTTGCTTTCATTTACAGCCTCGATCTCGTTTAAAGATAAGGTATTACGCAATCGCATATAAGATACGATAGTTAGATGGGAAATGCACAGACAAAAAAACTTTAACCAAAAAAGGGGCCGGTCATTTGGACTGGCATTGATAGCATTTTTACCGGTCATGCGAATTTTAAGCCGGTTTTGCCGGCATGACCGACAGTTTTCCACAACTCTGTAATTCAATATCTCATTAAATCATGCTTGTAATGTGATAAACTGAGCATGATCCGTGCATTTTCCCCCTTTTGTCTAAAAATATGGGTTACTGAATAATTCTTGGCAGAAAAAATACCTGCCAAGTATTAGTTTTAATTAATTTATAAAAGTCTTAAAAGACAGTATGCCTTGTAGTTGTGCCTTTGATGATGTAGTGGACCCTTGATTAACTGTTTCCCGGCTGTCATCTTTGAAGGAATAGGGACGTGTCGTCAACCAACCATCTTCTTCAGTCTCGTTGATTACTTTGTTGTTTACTTCATTGTTTACTTTGTTGTCGATTGGAGGAGGAAGCTTTACCTCGCCGAGGGCTTTACTTGGTTTGTTCAAGCTAAGTGTCTTCTTAAACTTAAAGGTCCTTCAATTTGAAAAAAATCATAAACATAGAAATTGACTGACAACAAAATTCAAAACCATCATCTGAGATAAAGAAGAAATGAAGGATGAGAACAAAGCCTATATTATGCATACATGTCAAAAACTAAAACTGGGAATTGTTATAAATGACAAACGTAGTACTTTATAATATTTTTTTTTTAATTTCTAAATTGAATGGTGGATCGACTCTTTCAAATGACAAGTTTTATTTTATATAAGTTTGTTAATTAACTTCCAATTTTGACCAAACAAATATGGAATTATCTTACCTGGGACCTTTTCCATCCATGTTTGAAGAAATTCTACATCATAAAACCATTCTGTAATTCATAACAGTTAACTAACTGAAACCTGGTCAACACGGTCAAAGGATGAAGATGATCGATCTTGTTGATTTTCGTAACTGGCGGGATCATTCAAGAGCAGACAACTCAATATTTTTCCTTACTTCCTTTTCCGGTTTGCCCATAGTCATTCGGTATGGAGTTACAGCTATCTCATGAAAATCTCTGTAATCCTGTTCGTTTAGAAAAACTAAGAATGCTAATCATAAGAATTTTTGAATTTTTAAACTCGACACATCCAATAGAAATCAAATTCGATTCCGCTGTTCCTTGGGACAATTAGAAAAATGAACACAATTCTCACTGTTTACTTCTGAACGTCAGAAATAATGCATTAATTTTGGTTATTTGCTCTAAAGCCGTTGTCATTCAACACATGATAATTATCAATGTAACATTATAAATGTAAACTCTACAAGATTCATTATCAAATATATTTTTCTGCTATAAATGCATAGTCTAAGATTTGTTAAGACTTGTTAACTCGAATTGCCTCCAAGATGGATTGTAATGCACCACACTACTAAGCTCTGCATGAAACATGTATTATATTCATTGATTTTTTTTTACAGCCATGGGTATCAAATATAATATGGCTGTTGGCCTCAACAAGGGCCACAAGACCATTCCTTTAAAAGCTGGCAGAAAAACCAGGCCCACAAGAAGGAGAGGGGTATGTGTAAACTTAGTACATGTATGAATTGCAATGCATGTAATGTTTTACATAAATAAATAATTCTTCTTGTGAAAATATTTAAAGAAGTGACAATTTAATGAAAGATCTTAGTGTTATAACTTTTTGTTAACCATTTTACTGAAAATTGGACAATGCCAATGAATTTGTAGTCAGTACACAGGTTTAATCTACATCAGGTTGGGAACACATCCCCTTTAGCGAGATCATCTCGCTAAAGCGCGATTATCCCTCTCTGGCGAGAGAAAATACATTTCGGAAAACCGAGATTTATACTCCGATTCAAACTGTAATCGTGTTAACTTCTGAAAAAGGAAAATCCGGAAGTATGTCAACCCATTCGATAAATATTTATTGTCTCATCTCAATAAATTTGCTTCAAAATATTGTCTGTACTGCTGCAATTCATGGAAATTAGAATAAGTTTATGAACAATAGCGTAGCCTTCCTACGGAGGACCGCAGGTGATAATTATCAGTACAATTAAATTTACTTCGGCTATACAGTTATTGTAATTGAACGTTTACCTTATTTTTTTTAATACGCCTGTTCGAAAAGCGGGAGTATATACAGCATGATATAGTGATGGGGTGTCCGTCACTTTTGACTTTCTGTAGGGCATGACGATCTAACACTAAGTCTGTTTGGTGACCTATAGATGCTCAAATCGCCTGATTGACTGATATTAAACCCCACCTTCTTACTGTAAGAAGCGTCCTCATTGGTTCCTTGCTACACTCGTTAGAGTTTCCAGGATTTTCTAACAGATATATCAATCCTTCTTTATATTTTACCCGTTAAATAAAAAAAAAAGTTCAATGTCAGTTTTAAATTCTCGTCCTACGTAAATTAATCAACGCTAAAAATTATTTTATCTAATACTATAACCAATGATTGCACTTTCTCAAACTTTGCAAGTTATATTGGAAACTTGATATTTTAGACGGCTAGAGATGGTACATATAGATGAACGGATATGTTGGGGGGGGGGGGGGTCACTAGGAACAAATACAGTAGGTAGGTTGTGCGACTAGATTTCTTTAAATGTATAATATACCAAGATTCTAATCAGGCATGATAAAAGCTACCGACATAATCATTTTTCAATCACAACCATTTAAATTGAAAGAGTCTTGACGATGACCAATTAAGATTCTTCTAATAGGAAGCTATTCATAAATGGTAGATCATCGTTTATATATAAAGGTGACAATAGCCTCTCTTCGTAACTCAATAAAACAATCACAAGGTACTAGTATTATAAAATGTAAAATTCGAAGTATTCCATGCAGTGTTTGTAGATATTCTTTCAAAATAAAGCATGCCTTTGGCAGTATTCATCCGCCGCCAAAATACTGCTAAAACTTTGCCGACTCGGCATTCAACAAAAACAATCAACACTTTTTGCTTTTTTTTATTTATTGAATTTTTGGATGCAAATTTTTCAGAAGCCCCCCCCCTTTTTTTTTTTTAAATATAAAATTGCCACCTGGTCTGTGTTCTTTCATGTAACCTATCTGTGTTCCTATTAAAATTTACACATGTTAACTCATGCACGATCCCAAGATACGTTTCCAACGCAATTAAAGTGTCCTCAAACAAGAACTGTTCATTGCTACCGGTAAAAACATTAAGAATTTATGTCATTTAAATACGAATACCTAGGGTATATACTTCCTTAAATTATAACCACATGTTAAAAGCAGTAATTTCAACAATGCAATTCCGCATTTTTATTTTCTCTAATTTCGTATAGTTATAAAAAGAAATTCAAGAAACATGTTTTTCACTTTCAACAGGCACTTTTCAGTGTTAATGAAAAGAAGGGTAAGTGGTAACTGAAAAAAGTTCGAAGCTACATCCCCCCTCTACTCACACGAAAAAGGATTTTCAGGTTTGGACAATGGTCGAATTCTCTTTTTTGTCAAGTTTTTTTCAGGTTGAAATTTTTCTCTTTGAATTAGCCCCCCCCCCCTCTTTTTTCCAATTTGCTTCAGAATTTACAAGTTTACCATGTATCATCATTTGTACTAAGTCCCTATTTGTTTAGCCACAAGACAAACCTTTTTTATATTAATTTGTTTTCAATGGTTTATCCATATTCTATACACATCTCAATTTATACAAGTATATTTTTTCAATCATGACTTTTCCACAAACTTTACGACCATGTTGCGCTTCCGTACTTCTTAGCGTCAACCAAAGATCAAATATTTATAAGCAAATATCATGGGTTTCTGAAGAACATTATTTTTATTTATTTTACAGGGATGGAAAACTAAGACACTAATGAGTATAATTTGGATATCTATACATATTTTAGATGCTTCAAAAACATATATGACTGTAAATCCTGAAACCGCCTCTAAAAAAGGCCCGATTTTCACGTGAATTTCAGCCTTTTATCCTCACACGCAGCAGTGATTGTCTTAAATTTCTAGCCAATATTGTCGGTTTTTTGTAGTAAATTCACGCTTCAATGCAGCTTTCTCCCGGATTTTCAATACACACGAGAATTTCGATTATTTTATAATGAAAACAACAAAATTCCCGTTTATGGTAATGTTTTTTCTACCGTTAAAGAGGGATATTCGGGCTTTAGCGAGATGATCTCGCTAAAGGGGATGTGTGCCCAACCTGTACATCGGCTAAATTACGATTTCTTCCCATTGTAATTTTCAAAGTTATATAAGATGTATGTCATGCTGATTCCCTAGCTGGTATGCAGTATTTTTTCTCTTTCAGGCATTAACCAAGCATGCTAGATTTGTCCGAGACTTAGTCAGGGAAATCACAGGATTTGCTGCTTATGAGAGACGCATGCAGGAATTGCTGAGAATTCAGAAAGACAAACGAGCACTCAAATTTGCCAAGAGAAGGGTAAATTTCTTTCATTGTCATTGATTCATAGAAAGAACAGCACTTCAATGATACCGCAAACATTAGTATGTCTACATCACTTGTTGCTTGTCATTTTTGTTTGAAAAATATGGGAAGTTTTACATTTAATAATTCAAGAGCATTTTGAAACAGGGAGAAATGCAATAAAATCTTCATACAGTAATTTCACACATTGTTTCATTTGATATTTTATTGGCCAAATGGGGCAACCTGAAATTCATTTGGCAACCCTAGATCAGTGTCAAGGTTGCACATGTAGCAGTGCTCCAAGTCACATTTGCTCTCAGGTCGCAAAATGGCGACCTAAAAAAATTTTTGGTCGCCATTTTAGAATTTTTGGTCGCCATAATAAAATATTTCACTCGCCATAAAAAAATAAATTTTGTGAATAAAACTTCATAATTTAGATAAGGATATGTATTTTGTCTTTATTATATCATAGATTACTTATTTCTGTGACTATAAAAAATTGCTAGGTTGAATGAAATATTTTTATTGAATACTTGTACATGTACCCTTTAATATGGTTGTACAGAAGAACACAGGTAATCTGGTTACAGAAATAAAATATTATCAAATGAAAATACAAGCTTGAAAGCTGTTGAGACAGGACTTTGCCTGCTGTTTGTCATGTTTACTTACTACTACGTACATAACGCATTACACAGTCATTATAAATGTCGCCAAAACACTCTTTATTAACATGATAATACAATCATGATTCATTGTAATATGCAAGCAATTGATCAAATGCTTCAATAACAAGGTCGGATCTTAAAAAGTGTACTAAGTTTGGATGCCATTCTATCAGGAACATTATTTGACGACGTCTCTGGTTCAGGTTCTATCAAACTTTGTACAGCATGCCATGCTGTCATAACATTACGTGATCTAAGTCCATGCAACGCTTTGTAAAGTGTATTTAAGTATATGTCTTCAAACATTTTCTTGATAGAGAATCTTGACAAATGAAATCTCGATCCCAATCTTAAAAATTGGAAGTTTCCAGCTCAAATTTTCTCAGTCGCAAAAATTCGAGTGTGTTTTCATTTCTAGTTGCAAATTCAATTTTTTGGTCGCAAATGCGACCATTTTAGTCGCAACTTGGAGCACTGTGTAGTGAGACTATCTTTTGACTGGTGTTAAAGTAAACCCGTTCGCTCATACCCTGGAATAAAATTTATTAAGATTTTCAAAGAATTTTTCACATAATGCCATTGTGATTTGTGAACCTATGTTATTTCTTGTTCATAAAGATAAATACTTTTATGATGAATAATAGGTTGACCCAAAGCAAAATATACTGTAAATCCCTTTTATTCACAAGAGCTTTATTTTTGCATAATTGTGCTGGACTGTGCTCGCAAAAATTGAATTCTCCCATATTGTAGTATTCCTCAAGATTATATAGAGCAAAACACAATTCATGAAAAAACCTGTCATGCTTATCAAGAGTCACTGATTATCTCGTGAAAATAAGGTGTCACGAAAATTAAGTGATCTACAGTAGACACTGCCATTCTTTCTATTTCATGAGAAGGAGGTACCCCTCTCTTATCAACATCTCATCCATGAATACAAATAAATAAAACTGAATGAAACTCTCTCACAGAATCTCTGTTTCACTATGCTATTGTACACCTTTATAGGTGACACATCTCTATATGCTTTTGTCTGTTGTTGTAAGTGGTGCATTTACATTTGAGCATTTTTAGACTCTTCTTTAAAACCACTAAACCAATTTAGCACATATCATTTATAGATCAAGTGGAACAAAAATTGTGAATTTCATAATCTGTGCCTCTCTGGGATATGTCAATCTTCAGTTCTTGAGCCACTTGTTTTTGAGCAGACAGACATCTTGGGTTTAATTCCCATAGCCAAACCTGGAAACTGCTATTACATTGTATTTCTAAAATTTTTAAGTACCGATCCATTATCCTCAATTCCTCCGTTTTGCTTATCTCCATATGGTAAAAAATCCAAACTGATAGACAGATGGGAATTTTCAGTGCAATCTTGAATTTTGAGATTGCACGTATGTAATGGTTCGCATTGAGGTTATAAGCCTACAATCCATCTGTCTGAGTGTTACAGTAAGACATTATACGTTCTGAATACTTCCAAATTGTTATTTTCTTGCCCATTTTAAAAATTCTCAATTGAATAGGTACAGTACCATGTAGCCAGGAAAGGGAGCTTTAAGCGCTGTGCCTATCTGATGTCTATAAAGTTGGTTTCTGTTTATTTCCAGCTGGGCTCACACATCCGTGCTAAGAGGAAGAGGGAAGAAATGCAGGCCGTCTTACAGAAAATGAGAAAGGCACAGAAAGAACAGAAATAAATTTAATCTTCTCTTATTATTTGTTTTTGTCAATCATTTATTATTGAAATAGCAACTGTCGCAACAACTTGTGTCGACCATGTGACATCAGATTTAGTATGCAACAGAATTCCTTTTAAGTGTATACATGTCCATGATAAATGATGCAGTTGGAGTGGTTTTAATTTAGGTTATGGAAGGAAAATTTGTATCATGCAATTTATATTTTGTTGAAATATTTTGCTGCATTATAGTAAACCACTTTAATGCATTATTTATCTTGAAAAGTTACTGTTGCAACTAGTGCAAGGGAGAGAACTATGGCAGACTTCTTGAAATCCTCGGTTTGCAAATGATGATGGAAGGCGAGAAAAGGATAGATATTTGTGGAAAATTGTGCACAGTAAGGGAAATTGATGTTAAAATGAAAAGGTAGTAGATCCAGCATCAGAGACTACATATTGTTTTTATGGGCTTGACATGCGATACTAAATTATTTTATCCAGGGCATAATTCTCCTGAAAGAATGAATCAACTGAAGACTTCATTGTCCATTTTGTAACATTTTTCAAAAGTGGATGTTGGTTATGTAAAAAAAAAAAAAGGATGGATGTTGAGACACAATAAGTACAGTAAAACATCCTTATAAGGAACTGATGCTTAGTGATTTTCATTCCCTGTTAAGTTTTGGAAATATTGATGAGCTAAAAGATGTAAAGAATTACATTTTTAACAAAGTTTACCTGGCCGTAGTTTGTTGTTCTGTATTTAGATTTGTATAATGATGATTCCTATTTCACGCTTTTTGATTGCTTTTCCAGAAGGTTGAAATGAGAAGCATTTTCCGTTCAGGGTAGATATAGTCATACAAAAATATTCCCTATATTTTAGCACATTCAAAGTTGAAATTTATTGGACTATAATATGCATTAGTGGTGTCTATGTTTTTCATTAAATATAGACCAAATAGAGTGATGAAATATTGATCCTGCCCAAAATATACATGCAGGAATTTTAAACATTGTATTGGTTTATTTGCTCCTTTTCAGAGCAGCTAGTATACATGTATTAACAGGTATTATAATAGGGTGGTTATGTCTTCCGATAGACAATATCCAATATACTGGCAAAAACCCCAATTTAAATCAAATGCCGAAAAATACATCGTCATTCAAATGATGGTTGAATTTGCGAGTTTCCTCAATGTTCATAAAATCCTTCACTACCTTATCATGGGAATAAGGTCCCAAAATATTAATGATGACCACACAAGGTGCATGTAGTACTATATCACATCAGTGTTTATCAGCCTTTCAAAGATGAACACATTTTTGTTTTTATAAAATATTTAATTGTAAATAAATAACAAATATTGGTAATTGCAACAATCAACCCCAACATAACAATAAACTGAAATCAGGGAGACAGATACATGGAAAATTTCCTATATATCAAAAATTCATTCTAATTAAAAAGATTCTCCAAGTGTACAGTGGAAAAACAGAGAGAATTTTGAACAACTTAAGATACAAAGAACCTGTGAAACAGAATTTTCTATACAATTTTCTAAAGATAATTGGAGATAACAATTACTTTTAAACATTTTTAAAAAATGTACGACTCAAAAATATCTTTGAAACTGTTGAAGGAAAAAAATGATTTTTCAATTACAGAATTATCTCCCTTTGCAGAGGATCAATTCTCCTTAATGACTTATATATGAGGGAAGAAAAGAAATAGCAAAAGATGGATAGGACGGATTTAATAATAGGAATGTTATGTTCACGATGACAGGAAAATTAGAGTACATCTATTCTATCAACAGGAAGTAAAATACCCACTGCAGTTACATATTTATCCTTCTCATCTTCACCTGCAACTGTTTACAAAAACTTTCACTGCTCAACACTGTATTTAAATACTTTTAACATGTTTTGAAAAATCCCCCTGTATCAAAATTTCAACAAGTGATTTCAAGTTTAAATTTTTAAGTTTAATTAAACATCAAAATATCAATTGTATGGCCTAAAATGAAAATTTCTTTCTTAGCAGTTTATTTACTCCTTTTTTTTCCCCAAAAAGATACTTATTATTTAATTGCTTTTATAAAGTGTGCACATTAACAGTTCTGTTTATTTCCTGTGCTATTAATTAATTGTGCTGAAGAAAATAATTTGCTTCTCAAGTTTTTTTATTCAAACATTGAGAAACTGGGGTAAGAAAACATAAAATCTGTAATTAAAAAAAATATTCTGAAATATATAACCATACCCCAAAAAATTAAATTTATACCAATATTGAAATACTGAGAAACCAAAACTCATTGATATATTGAAAATAAATTGGATACAAATGTATACCTGGTTGTTAAAAATTTTCTCATGATACTTTGAAAACATGAACTCATATGTAAAAATTGTTTACTTTAGACTGATCCAAGTCAGTATGAACAATAAAACACAAAAAAATGTACAACTATAGACTAATGAGTATTAAAATAAAATATGTACATTGTACTTTTCTTCATTTTGAGCATATAAACATAAGAGCTGAAGCACAACAGAATTAGTCTTAAATGTTTTCTGTAGAAATGAACACATCATCTAGTCAAGATCATATCATTAGGGGGAACATCAGTTTAACCTTTATGGTTTACAGTTTATTGGCCAAGGCACAACGATTTATGATACTTAACCTATTCTATTATTTTAAAAAAATCTAATGCTACATGGAAGACATGAAAGTTAGAACTCTTCTCTAATCCTAAAATCTACAGAACTCGTGTAATTATCATGAACTTTGGAACTCTTAATTCAGCAATCACAATATTAAGAGCTCTTTGATAACCATGATCTTAAGATTTTTTTTTTTGAAACTATACATTTCCCCTCTAAAAACTTTAAATGCAAATCTTATGCTGCAGTTATATAAATTTAAATTTATTCTTCAATATGGTTTGCTCTATGACAGAAGAATGATGCTATCCATGAGAGGGTATTCCAATAAGGTTTGAAATTAAAATTAAAAAAATTATCATATGTTCTGTCTGTAATATCAAGTTTGATACCCATAAAAATTAAAACTTTGATTTATTTTTTTTCCACATTTGAACACATCTTTCTTTGAACTTAATAACTTTCTATTTGATACCAATAAAATTTTTAGACTTTGATTTTGAAAACACCTATCTTCTTTGAACTTGTAACTTGCATACGAAGCACCTTCTGCATTTGAAAGAAGTACGTAGTCTATGCCAACAGTCATGCTTCAAATTTCTTTAAAATATTTCTGTAGCAATTCACTAGTTTCTTAAATTTTGTATTTAATACATTTATATGTGTTGCACATAAATTCCAATTCTAATATCATATCCCATATCAAAAAAAAAAATCGAAATTCAATTTATGTAAAATATTTAGTCACACACACATGTATACATAATGAAAACCTCAATAAAAAACAGATCTTTCTTCCATAATAAATTATAACCAAAAAACGAATTACCCTGAAAAAATATGAAATGTCACAATAAATTTGAAAATAGTTTAAGCTCTTCGATTAGAGCATTTGTAGCTACTGAGATTTTGTCTCCTTCATTGAATTTCAGAGCAATGCTACACCTGACGTCACCGAGAAAACATTTCCAGATAAAACACAACCTTGAGATAATAAATTAATCCTAATTGATGTTTAAGCTCTTTTCTTTTTGCCAAGGTTTGGGACATCAGGAGCAAACTCTCTATACTGACTCTGTAAAACAAATAATCATTTCAGGTTAAACAAAATTCTTTATAATGAAAGTTGACCTTTTTTGAAAGTTAAAGAGTTAAGAAAACTTTGAGAGTGATTTCCTCAATCAAAAGTGTTCCTTTTATGTAATCCTAATTTACTGGTTAACCCAACTTTTATTTGTGAGGGAGAAATATCTGCAAGATTTTTTGTTCTTTTACTTGCAAATATTTCTGACTGCGATTTAATACCGATTCACATATATGTGTTTAATAGAATGTTAATTGCCCTAGTCACAAAATCAGTTGTTGTTCAGGATTCCATACTGAAGAATTGTGAATGAAGGATGACTCAGATAATACATGCAGTAGGTTTACAATGTAATTCAAATGCCAGATATGTCTGCAAGTTTTTGGACCTTTTGACTTGCAAATACGTGTAGTTCTCATGGCAAACCACTTCTTTATTTGTAAACATGTACTTTGAAAATTAATAGTTGCAACTGAATTTTATAATAAATGAACAAATTAAGACTTTTATTGCAGAATATAGTGCATTTGGTTTACAATATGTTCTGTAGGAGATGATAGGACCTACCACTTCACTATCTGAAGGCACTCGGGACAGGAAGTCCAGCAGTTCATTGTTTGGTATTGCATTAGGGGCCCTCAACTTCTTCGTAAATTTGTTGATGCCTGAAACGATGATGTAGACATCAGAAACGTTGATATACATGTAGTAATCACAATATACAGCAATACATTATGGCAGTTTTTAAAGATCTTTACTTATACATGTATTAATTTTCCTAACATTAGGTTAAAAACTTTAGTCCGTAATATATACATTTATGTTGACAAAAATGTTTTTTTAGCATGATAGGAACCTTTAAAGCTAACCGTAATGGTTGAGTTACTATTTCATGTGATTCTTTCTCCTGCAATTTTTTTTCAGTATGAGGTTCAAACCAAAAGTTTCATCAGAATGGCTCTGTACTTACCCCATAATAAGATGAGCACACGGATTGGAATGTAGTAGAGAACCACAACAAGAACAGACAACACAATCACAGCTAGAATGGATAACCAAGGCACCGTCCAGTTAAAGGTACTGAAAAGTTAAATACCTAAATATTACTACATGTACATCTATAAAATAACAAGAATAGACAACATAATAACAGCTAGAAACCAAGGCACCGTCCAGTTAAAAGTACTGAAAAGTTAAATATCACAACATTACCGCACTAATGAAATTGCAAGCTTCTTGTTACAGGGTTATTTTCATACTTGCAAACAATTTTGTTGAATTTTAAATTTGTCCACACACAATTGTGTTAAAAATTTATAATTGTTTATTAACATGGAATTAAAATTCACAATTTGCCAGGTTGAAATCAATCTGTGACGATTAATTTTCACAACTGGGGGAACATTTCTCTACAAATACTAAGCAAAATGATTGGTTCTCGGCGACTAATATTGGCTTGTTAATTAAAAGCAGGTTGCGGAACTCTCGAATATTTCTGGCATGCCAATTATAGTTTACAGGATGCACAGAAACAAACGATGTCTTACTTTTTGATCCTCTCCCCCAGTGAAGCCACCATGTCCATTCCCTGTTGAACTTGTAAACAAACTTCTTGTGCTGCTTGTAACTTTTCCCGAACACTCTTTTTCTCATCCTAAAATATCAAGAATTTGTGTTAAATCCAAACAAAAGATTTTTATTTGTCTTCTGATGCCAATTTTCTGAACACCATGGCACTTTTTTGTAATTTTTTATTTTTTTAAAACATAAGAAGTCCAATTCACAGTTTCTCTCAAAGTTAAGAATATAGAATTTTTTTTTTTCAAAGCAAGTTTTGATACATTTATATATATGCAGTGAAAAAGAATATTATTAGGCCAAAGTTTTTATTTTTTTTGGTTTACGATTTTTTGACACAAAAATATGCATTGGGTGGTCGAAAAATAAAAATAAAAATAATTTGGAACCTTGACATATTTTTTTCTCGAGTAGCGTTAAAATGTATTCAAATAAATATAATAAACACACAAGATTTTTCAACTTTTAAAATTGTTTTTTCTTATCATTCGGTTTATTAAGTCAAGAAAAATGAATCCACACGTCAAATGACTCAAGAACAGAAATGGGAGTATCAGGCTCTGTTACTGTTGATGGTTTTCATTCTTCCGACTTACAAGTCTGAGTTTCCATAATAGACACATATATTGCACTGGGACAAATATGGGTAAAATTAAGCAAATTAACTATTCTCTGGTCAGCCTTTCCACTTACGAAAACATTTTTGGAAACTCCGAAAGTGATTGCTTTCACAACAAACCTTTACCTTAAGATATGTGTGTCCAGGGACCAACCTAGACCCACCCGATTAAGGAGACTTCACTTCTCCCTCAAAGAAATTTAAGAAGTATTGAAATTTAGAGAGACTTCTTGGTGCGTATACATGGCACACTTTAATCGTTATAAAACTATTTCATTGTTCAGTGATTCATTTTGCCCTGCGTATTGCGTAATTTACGCATTAAATTCATTAAATACCCATTGGTTTTTGTCCAGTGCGTCCCGAATACGCATAAGTGATAACCCGCATAAAATAGAATTGAAGTTTCCAGTTTCTATTTTTATCGTTCATTCTATTTTTCGGAACTTAGCATACTTCATATTTCATTTGTCTTGTATAAATCATTTAAACAAAAGGCTTAAATATAAGATACGGTAAAATTACATTTAACACCTAAATGTTTAATATGTCGTAATTAACACGCGCTGATCAGCCGCTGACACAGTATACGAAAGCTGGTCATAAACCGTCCCGATTTTTAACAAAGAAAATATTGATAATCAAAGCAAATTATAAGGACAGTAAAAAATCAGTGATCTAATTGTAAAAACATTGCTTTGGAGTTGGTAGACAATTAATTGCCTGGAATTGTGTTGGGAGATAATTATCAAGTGACCAGCACACGTGTTTAAAACATTGGCTTCCTTTCATTGGTACGTAGAGAGGGTGTTTAAGTTGCGGTAAATTTTCACTGGGTTATTTACAACCAAAAATATTTTTTTATTATTGTATTTCATTAAAAAAAAAAAAGACATTGCTTTGTCTGATTATTACAGAAGGAGTGAACGGTCTAAAAATAACATCGGTAATGGCGGCCTACACTGAGAGTCGGGGAGACAATAAACATGCAACTCAAATTAATTTTAACTTGCTTTTTCATGTCTTTATAGTATCAAAAGGTTATGAAAATGACATTTTTAACAAGCATACTTTCCAACAATAAATTCCGAAGTTTATATTAAAATATGGCGATAAACAAAAGAAGTTACACATGTCTCTATAGGTAATATACTACGGTATGTACGTGTGATAGCCATGTTTCACCTGAAAGAAAAACATCTGAAAATCCCATTTTCATGTAAAGTATGCGCTCCTTCTTACAGAAATTTTATTTTAGGAAAAAAAGTGCTTATTGTATTCCGCCGAATACGGTAACTGAAGAAAAAAAACTTGGCTTGATATCACATTCATAGTTGTTAAAATTCTGACCCATTGATTTTGAGTTCTGACCCATTGCTTTCTGACAGAGGGGTACACTGTACCCATTCATTCAATTTTCAAAATGAATCACTGATTGTTTAAAACTTACATTACATTTAAAAAAAAATTCTGTATAAACATTGTATTTAAAAATGATTAAAAAAATATAAAAAGAATCTTAAAAGATGTTTCCCCCAATTACAAGGTATATAAATATCTAGAAAAAATAATAAAACAGTATTGACATTAAATAAAATTTAGTACTACTACTATTAAACTGCCCAAGTTTCTTATTGTCAGATTAATTGTTTATCAAACATTTTTTTTCATTTCTTATATAGTAGTACAATTTTAAACTTCTAAAATTTTTCTTCTCATAAGATTTCCAGGCTTTTGGCATAGTCATAATTTTGTTAATTTCTCTTCAAACTTGTTTTCAATATGAAATTATGTTTCTAATAAAAGTTTTGATGCACACCTGCATGCCGATTGAACAGCTACTTATGTTTATCGAATCTGTCTTCTGATGTGTAACTTCTTAGAAAGCTAATAACTTCACAATTTATCAGTAAAAATATGTCTGTATTCACAGCATGAATTAATTATTTGACAATAATAAAGATCTTAAATCTTCTCCAACATCTTTAGCATGACATCGATAGCTGTCCAGCTGTTTTGCGTCTTATTGTGTGTATAACTTGTAACGATGGACTTTTTCATAACCGGAAGTGTAAAATCTAGAGGATTTCCGACGGAGTATTCGATGCATTGGTCATTGGCAATGTGGTTTGACAATCTGTATTTGTAGAGTTCATTGACTGTTTATGAGAGTTTGGGTTAATGATTAAGATGTGTTGTAAATTTTGGTTTGGTCAAAAAAAA